GTGAGAGTTGACTAACTGGTACTTGGTGTGGTACTAGGTTTATCGCATTTATGGCTTAGGGGTCGCGGTTTACCTCCCTCCGTTTAGTCATGCTGGATCAGGAGTAGTAAACTCGGCGATCGTGGGTTTGATTCCCACATGTGGCAAGTTTTTTTTTTATATTTTTTTATTTATTTTTATTTTTTTATTTTTTTAAGGTCGTGGGTTCGATTCTCACACGAGTCAGTTTTTATTTTTTTTTTTAAGGCAGTTTAGTTGATGGTGGATAATGAATAGCAAAACCTGGTGGTTGTGTGTTCGATTCCCACACGAACCTTTTTTTTTTGTTTTTTAAGGCAGTTTAGTTGATGGTGGATAATGAATAGCAAACATGGAGGTTGTGTGTTTGATTTCCACACAAACCAATTCTTTTTTTTTTATTTTTTTTTTTTAAGGCAGTTTAGTTGATGGTGGATAATGAATAGCAAACATGGAGGTTGTGTGTTTGATTTCCACACAAACCAATTCTTTTTTTTTTATTTTTTTATTTTAAGGCAGTTTAGTTGATGGTGGATAATGAATAGCAAAACCTGGTGGTTGTGTGTTCGATTCCCACACGAACCATTTTTGTTTTGTTTTTTAAGGCAGTTTAGTTGATGGTGGATAATGAATAGCAAAACCTGGTGGTTGTGTGTTCGATTCCCACACGAACCATTTTTTTGTTTTTGTTTTTTAAGGCAGTTTAGTTGATGGTGGATAATGTATAGCAAACCTGGTGGTTGTGTGTTCGATTCCCACACGAACCAATTCTTTTTTTTTTTTTTTTTTAAGGTAGTTTAGTTGATGGCGGATAATTAATGTATTGTACTAGTTGATGACGTCGCGAAATAACAACAAACACTAACGTGTCATGTCCGAGCCTAGGCCGTCATGGAAGCTCACTGGCTCCTGTGTAATTCATGTTGAGCCAACTTCAGACGAAAGGTTACAATCTTTTCAGAGATAAGCCTGAAGAAAGTTTTAGACAGTGCCCATCAATGGAAGGATTTTAATACTGAGGAATGGAAGTTAGCGAAGTCCTTGTGAAGTCCAGTACTTTGTTGGCCGACGTTGGTTAGAAGTTGTAAATTTCAAACGTTTACCGACGTCGGGCCAACAGAGTTACTTTGATGTTGCGACAACGTCTATAATCATACATAATATTTACAACCTCTAAGAGACGTCGGCCCAACGGTTGTACCTAACATCTATTTCAAACGTTTACCGATGTCGGGCCAACAAGGTACTTTGACGTTGGGACAACGTCTATAATTATATATTATGGAGGTTGGTTACAACCGTATGGCCGACGTTGGTTAGAGGTTGTAAATATTAGATGTGATTATAGACGTGGTC